CAGGACATGACAGTGTTACAGTGTTACAGCTACAACAGTAGTTACTATGTGTTACAGTGTTACAGTGTTACAGCTACAACAGTAGTTACTATGTGTTACAGTGTTACAGTGTTACAGCTACAACAGCAGTTACTATGTGTGTTCCACATGAGATATACTCAATAGAGTTTTAGAAAGAAATCCATATCATTATTCTTATACATAAGGGCTTATCTCCAACACAGATGATCTCATGCACATCGGATCATATTCGGGGGTTTGTAGAGTTAATGTTAATGGCGTCTCTGTCATGCCTCTCTGGCTGTAACAGTACACCTGTATTGACTGTGGCCTTTTAGCGATAAAGTGCATTGTGAGTGCTTTTTATAAGAAATGACTTATTTGTGCATTTATTATTTTTTTGTATTATATAATATAGAGAGAAAGTTCATAAGGAGACTGCTTGAAATGATGGTAATCCATTTTAACACACAATACCTCTTAAAGCCGCAATATGTGCATCCAAACGCTAATTTCTCCAGTACTAGACTAGCAAATACTTCGTGTCATGCATAATCACACCACCTTATGACAAAATAAACTCTAGTTCCTCCCATTTCACGCGCGTTTGCTTAAAATCCACAAGAAAGAGGTGCGAAATCTGGCAATCTGGCGCCAACGCCAAATTGTTTGCCAAACCATTTAGCCCCGAATCGGTTAGGTGACGTCACATGTTGCCACGGGTTGCACCCGCTGTATGGTTGCTTGGCAGAGCAACGTGAACGTGTCAACAATATCGGAGAATTTGAACAATATTGGAGGTATTTTCAAATACCTTTTATAAGACAACGCGCAGTGAAATGGGAGGAACTAGAGTTTATTTTGTCATAAGGTAGTATGATTATGCATGACACGAAGTATTTGCTAGTCTAGTACTGGAGAAATTAGCATTTGGATGCGCATATTGCGGCTTTAAGAAATACTGTCTGTGGCTCCATCTATAGATAAGAAAAGCAACACAATGACAACCCAGCTATCAGGTACAACATCACCCACATAAAATGAACGATCATGAAATTTAACGCGCAAATTTTCCTAGCTTTTCAAAATGAGGAAGACGCTACGTTGAGATTCGACGTGAAACTATATGTTTGTCACCCACCGAGACTGTGGTAGTCGGTGTCCAGCTGCCTGGCCCTGTTCTCAATGACGTCAATCACTTGTGACATCAGCTGGAGTTTGTCATCGCCGAGTTCTTGCGTTTTTATCAGCGCCCTCTGGATGTGGATAAGGCTCCGCTTCCTAGCAACATTGTCTGTTTCCGCCCTGTAAGAAGAAAACATTGAAAGTGATTACGTCACCGAAAACACTAAAAATACCAAATTATGTCCACTTTTTCACAAAATGCAAGTGATTCTGTTAGCAAGCAATTAATGTAAGGATCATAATATCAAATCGTCCATTTTTTTTGGATTTTTAACTAGTAGAGAAACAATCTTATCAGGTAAGAATTTGACGACACATTTAATCTAATTAGTACTCACTTTCAATGTAAAAAAATGGCAACAAAAATTTTAAAAATTTACACCAAAAAATTTGTGACGTAGTCAATTGAACACAACATCACTACATGGATTATGTTGAATCCCTAAAATAATTAGTCCTTGCACATTGGGAGACACAAAAAGAGAGAGAGATGAGGGACAGAGAGAGAGAAATTGAGGGAGCGAGACAGAATTAGAGATAAAAATGAAAGCGTGGGAGAGAGGGCGAAAGAGAGAGGGCAAATAAAGAGAAAGAGAAAAGATAGAGAGAGAATAGGAGAAAGAGAGAAAGAGATAGAGAGGCAGACAGACACACAGAGGAATAGACAAAGAGAGAGACAGACATAGCGAGAGAAAGAGAAAGACAGAGACATACAGAGACAGAAAGAGAGAGAGAGAGAGACAGAGACATACAGAGACAGAAAGAGAGAGAGAGACAGACATAGAGAAAGAAAGACAGAGATAGACACACAGAGACAGAGAGAGACAGAAAGAGAGAGAAAAATAGAGAGCATGAGAGAGAAAGGGGAAAGGGGCAGCATCTGTGTCCACCACCGCGCTCGCCTCACCTGAACACCTGTCCACCCCCGCGCTCGCCTCACCTGAACACCTGTCCACCCCCGCGCTCGCCTCACCTGAACACCCCCGCGTTCGCCTCACCTGAACACCT